TAACTGCTTCCATAAAGCGGTCGGAAATGCAAACTGAAATATTGGCTCCTTCCAAAAAATCCGGATTTCTTTTTACTAATTCGAGTTTTCGTTTAATTTTTTCTCTGATTAGTTCATGGGAAGTTTTTTCCATTAAGTGGGTTAAGAGTTGGGTATTCTGAACTTTGGCTATCACAAATTCGATAATGTCCGGGTGTCAATCGGCTAACATAATCATTTGGGCTCCACGACGGGAACCCCCTTGAATAGTCAAATTAGTTAATAAAGAAAGTAAATTTAGTCAATCAATTGCTCCACTCGAAGTTCCGTTTTTCACTGGCGAGCCATTGGGTCGCAATGTGCTCCCATTACTTCCCACTCCTCCGCCCCGAGCCATAATCTCTAATACTTCTCCTAAATGCTGAATAATTCCAGCCCGGGAGTCGGGAATATAAGGCATTACAAAGCAATTAAAATAAGTGATTTGATTTTGACCACCCGCCCCGCACAATACCCGCCCCGCCGGAACAATTTTGAAATCTTTGAGTTGTTGATAAAACTGGGTAAAATAATTTTCCCGGAAGTTTTCTTTTTCAGGTTGAGCAATTTCTTTGGCTACCCGTTTGGCAATTTGTTCGTAAAATAACTCTAAGGGCTTTTCGATTTCAAAACTTTGTTTTTTTATTTGTCGAGAGTTGCCTTGATAGAACAAATCGGGGTCAGTTTTTTCGGCAAACTCAGTTTCAATTTCAATAATTCAAAATAAAATACCTTGGGGGTTAAATCAGCGGTCAATGATTTTTCCAACTCCTTTGCTGGGAAATTTTGGGTCGGGTTTAATAACTGTCAAAACTATATCGCCGATTTGCAAAGTCTTCAATTCTTTATCCTTTTGAGAATAGCGGTCTAACATTACTAAACGAGAAATTCCGGATAAAGTTAGCGAAAACTCGGGCTGGATTGGAAAAAGATGGTTAAAATGNTCGCTAATATCTTTATTTAGTTGGTTTAGACAGGTCGGAGGATAAACTTGATTTTGACTCATATATAAATTAAATTTTAAC